ATTTTACAAAAAGATTAAGACAGAAACAAATCTTCCTGAGGGAGGACAGTTACTAAGAAATTTTAATTACATTTTTAAAGCAGTATCAGCCGTTTCATCTGACAGCAGGTGTCTCTGTAAAGAAGAGTCTTTAATCCTTTAAGAGGATCAATAAGATCCAGGATGAGGGATCTGACTGACTACGGTGGCCTGCAGGGAACATTTCTGTCAGTGTGTTTCTGCTGAAGCTGAGGACGGTTTGTTGGACTTTTAATGACTTTACTGAACAAACTGATGGAGGCTGCGCTTCACCTGCACGAGATGCCGTGAAGCAGGAGTTTCATGATGAGAATGGGGAGATAATGTAAGTCTTACTAAGCTCTGGTTCATCCAGAAAGTCAAAATAATTCCAGAGTGGTGATTATTTGTTTTAGTAGGTTGAAATAATCTGCACTGCAGCTCGGTGCAGAAATAGGTCATATACTTTTTATTTAGTACTGTCAGTGTATCATAATTAAAAATAGTAATTATGTTTCTTGCAAAATGTCTTAAACTCTTGTAGATTTCTATAAAAGCTGTTTTATACTACAGAACTGTCATAAAACATTCAGTGTTTGGAATTTTTTGCAGAAACAAAAAATATAAATTCCTAAAGATATTTTGGGATCCATGTGATTAGCCATGTTTACGGTTGTTATACTCTCAGATCATAATAATTAAAAGGGAGCAGAGTCTGATCAGGCCACCAGAACCAGCCAATCAGAGCAGAGCAGAGTATGAGGGGCGGAGTCTGATCAGAACAAACTAATCAGAACACAGTGGGAGTGTTGATTGACACATAATTATCACATTTTAAGATAGTTTTAGGGTCTATATGAAATTGAATATGATTTTAAAAAGTTAAAATAAATTCAATTCAGTGGTTCATGAGATATTTTGCTAACACATAAATTAGGACGCCCATCTGTCATGTGTAAACATGTAAACAGAAAAACGTCCCAACGTTCATCTCCGTGTCTGCCTCCCATCCAGTCGTCCATGGCAGTGTTGGAGGTGATCTGCAGCCTGATTGGCTGGCTCTGCCTCTACCTGGTGTTCTGCTGCGCCTTTCCTCGGCGGGGGCACGAGTGGAACTGCCGCCTGGTCACGTTGACCCACGGCGTCTTCATCGTGCTGCTGACGGCGTACGTGGTTTTCGTCGACGGCCCCTGGCCCTTCACGCACGCCGGTCAGCAACAGGACACGACAGAAACATAAACTTTACACTGAGTGATGTCTGCTGCAGGTAAGATACTGACTGCTCAGAAGCGTAGCTGCATTAATCCACTTCTCTGCTCTTCAGGAACAGAGAACACGGAGCTCCAGGTGTTGGCCTTGGCAGTCTGCCTGGGCTACTTCTTCTTCGACATGGGTTGGTGCGTGTGCTACCGGACCGAGGGCCCGGTCATGATGGCCCACCACGCCGCCAGCATTTCGGGCATCCTGCTGGCCCTGTTCCTGGGCGTGTCGGGCTGCGAGACCTGCGCGGTCATCTTCGGCAGCGAGCTCACCAACCCGCTGCTGCAGGGTCGCTGGTTCCTCCGGCAGGTGGGTCGGTACGACGGGCCGTTGGGCGACRCGGTGGACCTGCTCTTCATCTTCCTGTTCGCCACGGTGAGGGTGGGCCTCGGCACTGTCATGTTCTACTGCGAGCTCGCCTCCGCCAGGACGCCGGCGGTCATGAAGCTGGGCGGGGTTTTGATGTACGCGCTGGCCTGGGTGTTCATGGTGGACATCGCCCGCTTCGGCTACAAGAAGAGCAGAGCCAAATATAAAAGGTGGACGGAGAACCACAAGCTGAGAAACGTCGACACAGAACCGCTGCTGGAAAATTCAGACTGAACACTTTAACAGCGGCCTCCACAGATAATTCACTTTTCTGTGGAAACGCTGAAGAAGCTGAACCGAGCTATGAAGCTAAAAGCGTAACATCAGCTAAAACCTAAAAAGGACAAGAAAAAACCATCAGAAATTCAGCTGAAAGAAAAAAAACGCACAAAAAATTGAATTTAACCCATTTAAAATCACTTCTGAAGTAGTTTTGTTTCAAATTAAAGCAAACTGCAGCTGTCAGAATAAAAAACAAACATTTAATAAAAGACATCAGTGCAGACAGGAGAAATGTTTAAAGTTTCTGTGAATTAAATACTTTCTAAGATCCTTTAAAGTAACTTTTTCTGCCGTCTCTTCAACTCTAACCTCCGTTTTACATCATAAATTAAAAAGAATWACTAAAAAGGCCACAAAAACAAAAYATTTGTGTAACAGATTAATGCAGTCGGATGCTTAATTCTCATTTTTTAAGTAGCTTGTGTTGCATGATATCTTTTACATTATTGTACAATAAAACCTATATAACCTTTTCAGGTATTTTTTTCGTTTTTTTACATCTCATCGTCATCATCACGTCTTTGKCGGTGTGATGGGTGCAGTCTTTTGGCCAGTGGAGTCCTTTTGAGTCCAACCTTGAAGGTGAAGTGCAGACAGGCAACATTCAGACAGGAAACAAATAAATAACATCCTGATAAATCCACGCAGAGAAAAAAAGTGCTCCGAGCCGTCGACGCCAAAAAACTAAAGAGCAGCAGGTTTTTGTCGTCACAGAAAGGACAGAAATGTTAGCGGGTTGTTGAAGGCACGGCAGGTTTTAACAAAAGATAAATTCATTTTTGAAGATGTTTTGCTTTTCTTTTGAGATTTCTCATTTCAAACCAAAAAAAAATGTCCAGAGGTCAAAGCTTTAAAACGAGTTGCACTCTTTTTGAAATGTTTGTAATAGATCTGAATCTTCCTCATGTTCGCCACAGAGGTGTACAATTTTACTGCTGGAACAGGTTCAAGAATCAAATACTTTTAACAGGAAGGAACCAGAATCAGGACGTACAGCAACCAGGCCCAACATGAAAAAAGACACGAAGAACTTGAAAAAAAATTAGACGAGGCAGGAATGAACTTTGTCGAGGTGAAAACAAAATAGACTGGACTAAGTTAGCCGAGGAGGGAACAAAGTTTGTTGAGACGGGAACTAAGTTATCCAAGGCAGGAAATAAGTTATCAAGGGCGGGAACTAAGTTATCCAAGGTGGGAACTAAGTTATTTGAGGTGGGAACTAAGTTATCCGAGGTGGGAACTAAGTTATCCGAGGTGGGAACTAAGTTATCCAAGGTGGGAACTAAGTTATTCAAGGCGGGAACTAAGTAATTTGAGGCGGGAAGAGGTTCTCCAAAGCAGGAACTAAGTTATCTGAGGAAAGAACAATGGGCCTCATGCAAGAACATGTTCGTATTCTTATCCTAAATTTCTCTTACTTTTGTTTGTACAAAGGGTTCGTACGAACATGTCACGTCAGATTCAACAAACTCTTCTATCTTCAGGAAAAGTGTGTAAATGAGCTGCGTAAATTCCACCTGTTCATATCCAGCTGCTCGTGCACGCGAGAGGAGATTAGCATAATTACCACCCCAAAAACACCATATAAGGCTATGTTTCCTACCTCAGATACAAGGAAGTGTTCATTCATGAAAATGACAGTGAAAACTAAAAAGAAAAACTTTACGAGTTCAGAGATTGAAGTCCGTCTGTCAGAGATCCAGAAAAGAAAATCTGTCATTTTTAGCAGGTCAGCTGTGGAATAAAAAGAGCTGCTAAAAGTATAAATAACTGTGTTAAATCATTTTCATTTATTCAGAAGACACACTGTCGCACACCGTAGGCAGAAAACGGACGAACGGACAATTTATATTGTTAGTCTAAATTATTACATTTAAAATTATAACTCTAATTCAAGCAGAATAGCCTATTGTCAACATAATTATGGAGTGTGATTTATTTTCAACGCAAAATATCTTCAAACTAACAAAATATAAAGTTATTARTGAAGAAAACCCGTCTGGATAACAGCAGACTGACTGCTGGTAAAATATACGACAGGTCTGGACCACTCCTGAATTTTGTTCGTATCTGAAAAAATCTTAGAATATGAAAACATTGGTGAATGCCACAAATTCTCCTAAATCACTCGTACGGACAACTTAAGAACAAATCTGTGCGTACGAATGGTTCTTGCATGAGGCCAAGAATATAGTTTGCACACAAACGGTTTGCGTTGATTTTCAGAAAATGAAAACCACGACCACACAGGTTGCTGGTTTTTGAACCTGCAGCAGGCTCAGCCTGGTGAGATACATATCTGTATACACACAGAACGTCATTTCAGCTAAAGATCAGAATGCACCTCAGCTGCTCCTGTTTGGATGTTTTGGTTTTTAGATAAACCAGTTTTTGTTCAGTTCTTAGTTTGAATTGAGAAAGATCCTGAGTTGAGCCGAACATCTTCAAGTCTAGTTGGGATTGGACTGGGATTATAGGCCAGAATGACAGAGGTGGAAACTGCTTGACAAATCTACATTCATGTGCTCTTAGTGGAAACTACCTGAGAAACAAGTTTGCTCAGACAGAAATACTTCTTATATTATTTTAAAAGATCTTAAGTTTTGGACAGAATCTGGTCAGAAACAGTTAAAGTGACTCAAACCTGAAATCCAGAAGAATTGTTGAAGTAAAAAAAAAGTGCAAACCCTGATGAAGAGAAGGGTTTTGAACTTTTATAACTTGTTGCATTTAAAGAGTTTCTCATGATTTGTTGGTTTTTAAGCCATTTTCAAATAGAGGAAATCGACTGTTTTAATACATTTTGAAAAAAAAAGATTTTTGGGACGTTTTATAATATATCTTTGTACAATTTTATTCACCTCAACAAATTAAACCAACAAACTATTTAGTTCGCTGGTTTTAAATCTTTAATTTAGAGCCATCTTAGCTGTTCCTCCTCTTTTACTTTTATATTAGTTTTGGATGAAGTTTCTGTGTTAGAGGATTTATTTCTGTGCTGTTTTGAGGCGTCTACTGTTGTTTTATTTTGTACAAAAATATGTTTCCTGAATGAGCCCCTGTGTGAACACAAACCCTCTCCTTTTCCATTTTAAATCCAGTGTATTAAATCATTTGAGCGGTGGATTAACATCGAAGTGGAGTTTGTTGTGAATAAATCCTGACTGCGATGACGACACCGTCCAGTTTCCCACGAAGCCTCCGAAGCCTCCGTTGTCACAAAGGTTTATGGTGAAACTCGAAGCGGCAAATATGAAACAGATCAGGAAGCTGGTGATCAATGGATCCCATCTGAAACACAGCAGAGAGTTTGAGATTACAGATTACAGATTACAGATCTGACTGAGTCTCAGAAGASCCGAAACACACCAGTGTTGTCGTCTGAGTTTGCAGCTGCATCGGTTTGAATTCTCTGCAGCTCGTTGTACTTCATCTCTACGTCCTGAAAACACACACACACAAAAAAACAACCTCACTGATGGTGGAAGCTCAAAAACAACAAGAATAAATTTAAATAAAGATTAAATWAAAAAAATACAGAGAAAATAAATTCTACCTTCAGGTACTGCAGGTCGGCCTGCAGGAGGCGCAGGTGAGTCATCAGCTGCCTGCTGAGGTCAGGGCCGCCGCTCCCCGCCTGAGAGGAAGACGACAGCAGCTTCCTCATGTCAATCCGCACGTCGGCTCCAACATCGTCGTCGGCGCCGCTCTCCTCAGAACCCGCCTCAAAATCCAGACCCACAAAGCCTCCTGAAGATAAAAAAAAAACAAATAAAAGTTTTCTGAGAAAATACAGTGAGCACTGAATTAGCTTTAAAGCTAAAAAAGAACCGAACACCAACTATAAGCAAAAGAAGCAAAAGGCTAGCTAAAAGCTAAAAGTAGAAGAAGGGTAACTAAAAGCTAAAGGTAGTAAAAACAAAGTGAAAAGCATCAAAAGTTAATCAAAGGTTAAAAGTAGCAAAAAGGTAGCTAAAAGCTAAAAACTATAGATAGCAGAAATAGCTAAAAGCTAAAGGTGACAGAAAGGTAGCTAAAACCAACAGAAGTCAATAAAATTTTAAAATTAGCAACTAGGTAGCTGAAAGCTAAACTTACCAGAAAAATTACTAAAAGCTAAAAGTTACAGAAATAAAGCTAAAGGTATTGAACAGCTAGCTAGAAGCTAAAATAAGAAGAAAAGTACCTAAAAGCAAAAAGTTGCAAAATGCTAGCTCAAAGCTAATAGTAAAATAAAGGTAACTAAAAGCTAAAGGTTGCAAAAAGGTAGCTAAAATCTTAAAAAGGTTAACTAAAAGTTAAAGGTAGCAGAAAAGTAGCTAAAAACAGCAAAGTTAACTAAAACCTAAAAAGAAAGAAACTTAGAAACCTATAGAAAAAAAACTAAAAGCAAAAGGTAACAAAAGACTAGTGAGTTGCTAAAAGTAGCTAAAAGCTAAATGCAGAGAAAGAAGACAAAAGCAACATTAACAATAATAAAGTAAACCTTCAACATGTTTTTACCGTTCTGCTTGGCTGTTTTAGCCTCTCCTGTGACCACAGCTAAAGGCTGCTGGTCGTCTTTCTCTGAGCTTTCAGGCGACCCGTTCTCATGGGGTGCGGCGGAGCGGCTCTCATTCAGCTGATTCTCAGGAAACTCACTCGGTTTGGCTTCTTCTGTCTCCTCCTCTTTGCTCGACATGTGGGCGAAAATGGCCTGTTTCAGCATCGCCACTGGAACACGGGAAAGTTCACTCAGAGACAAACTCAAGGTTTTGATCACATTTATCAGAAAATACAACAAAATCTTACACGTCTGGAGAGCCTCTTCAGCTTTAGAGGAGGAGGAAGAGGAGGAGTTAAACTCCACGTGATCGTTTTCCTCCGGGATGCTCTGACTGGATCCTTCCTGCAGGAGTTGGTCCGCCAGCTGACCATCCAARAACGCTTCCAGTTCTGCCTCGTCAACGTCCTCCTCCTCTTCTTCGTCCTCTGCTCTGTCCGCTACAGCCAGCTCCTCTTCCTCATCCTCTGACTTCAACCCATCAAAGGGGTTGGGAGGAGGCTGGACGCCCGGTGAAGACGGGGCGTCTTTATCCAGAACGCATCCATCAGTGGAACCAGAAGAACCGACACTTCCCCTCGACGTCTCGCTGGGCTCCACGCTCCGTTTGGGCGTCCCCGCAGCGTTCCGCTCGGCTCTGAAACACATCCACGTTGTGAGCACAACAGATCAAACCACACCGGTGCCGGCGTCGGGGATAACCGGACTCACCCGGGTCGGGCCGGAGGCGTGACGTTGTTGTGAGGCTTGGCCTTCATGGCGTCGGCGCATTGCGTGATCAGACACTGCCACCTGGATGAACGCAAACAACCAGGTGAGAGTCGTGGAAACATTTAACCTTCAGAGCTTCAGGTTTTAAATAAAGACTCACGTTCTGCGATCGGACACCGTCTGAGCCATCAGCTCGTACATCTGAACACCGTTTTCAGACATTGACAGAACAAAGAAGGCCTTCTTGTCTGAAAAGAACATTTCCATCATTTCATTTGTAAATGAATAGCTTTTCAGCCAGAAACCAAGGATAATGATATTTTTTCTCTGACTGGCTGCTCTGACCATCACTGGGTCATTATGTCCACAGATTCGGTTCAGTTTTCAGATTTAGCAGTCTTACCGGTGGCTACGGGTCGAACCAGGACCGTGTTAAGTTTAATGACGGGGCTGAAGGTGTGCTTGGTGTCGGCAGCGCTCGCCAGGTTCTTGCCGTGAAACTTGAGGACAAGACGCTCGTCCTGCTTCTGCAGTAAAACCATGATGTCCTCCAGGAGGACCGTGTAAAGTTCTGGAAGAATGAGATGAAACTGAGTGTTCCGTTCCAGTTCATGTGATGTGAACGGTGTATTTATAGATACTGTTTGTACCGATCGTTTTGTCCTTGGCTCTCCAGGAGAGAGGTCCCTCGTGAACCATCTTCCTCTTGGTCAGATCCAGGTTCTGCATAGAAACCACCAGTTTTGAGTCTGAATCAATCATGGTGGAGTACAGTGGTATAAAAGTTCTACAGAATCCAAATGTAGCCCATTTAAAACCATGAAGACCAACTATTTAACAGCTGTTAAAGGAAAAATAATACATTTGTTTTCTTTCAGATTATTGAAGTTCAAATTCATTTGTGCTTTAATTTAATCTAAACCAAACAAAAGCTAAAACTAATCTTCATTTTTGTTGACAGAAACCTTTGTTATTTTTTTATTTAAAATACTTGAGGTCTCAGAAAGGATCCCTGAGGAACTCCAGAAGTAAATAAAAGTTGCAGTTTAGAAAATCAGTGAAAGTTCCTTACCCTCAGCTCCAGGATCACAGGATTTTCACTTTGTTTAAGAGATGAGACGTCCAGCCGTCGCTGATAATCCTCCAGTCTCTGTTGAGACACATCAGAACCACCACCTCATCAGAAACATGTCAGCTTCAGTTTGGACTGGATTAAGTTAGGCAAGGGTTACGCTAGGTTAGCTTAAGTAAGGTCAGGTTTAGTTCAGGTTATATTACATAATTTTAGGATTAGATTAGGTTTACATTAGTTATATGTTGGTTTAGGTCAAGTAAATTTCTTTACGCTTAGGCCAAGTTTATGTTAGGTTTAATAAAGTTTGGTTAGGATAAGTTAGATTAGGTTTAAGATTAAGTAAGGTTATTTTAGGCTAAGTTTGGTAAAGCTTAATCTATATTAAGTTAGGTTTGGGCTAGTTTAGAAGAAGTTAAGTTCAGCTATGATAAATTTACGATATGTGCAGGTTATTCAGTCAAAGTTAAATGTAGGTTAAGATTAGATAAGTTTATGTTCTAGACAATATTAAGGCTATATCTAGATTTAGTTTAGGTTAAATTTGCAGCTTTTAGGTTTGGTTAGATAAGTTTTAAGTTACTCTATTGTAGTGAAAAGTACATTTCTGTTACAAAAGATACGATTTTCTTGTGGCTCCTATTTACAAAGCAACATAATGTAAATAAAAATAGACTTATTTTTTAAAAAAGAGAAAATATTCAGAATAGTCAGAATTCAACCAACCTGTTTGTTTTCAGCTTCTCTCACAGCCTGGTTGACGTGGTTCAGGATCTTTTTACAGCATTCTCCAGCTTTCTTCACCTTTTCTCTTTCTTCACCATTTTCTGTAAAAAAAAACACTCTGGTGAACTATAACTAGCATTCTATAGTTTATTCTATAAAAAATAAATAAATAAACATAATCATACCTGTGTATTTAGCGATATTGTCCAGGAGCAGTGGGTACTTTGTCACTCTTTGCATTTCTACAGGAATGATGTCTTTAAGCTGCAGCCTGCGACACAAAGGGTTACTCCTTGCCTCCTGAGAAGCAGTGATGAAGATGAAGAGGAGGACATAGGAATGATGGATAATGATGCAGCTTTGAATTTATTTTAGTATAAAAACAAACAGCGACAGTTCTGCTGCTGACCTGCATGAACAAGTTGAACTTCTGGTCTTTCTTCTGCCGGGTTTTGATGAGCTCCAGCGCCGATGGCTGGTTGCTGCAGAACGTTCCTACTGCGCTCTTTACCTTCTCCTCTTCCTCGCCACTGAACTGAAACACATCCAGAGCAAAAGTTCATTTTATATTTATGCTCTATTTGTGAAGCCTGAATGTTTGCATCATATTTGTCTAAACCCAAAGTTTAAATTTGACTCTAAAGATAATGAATAAAAAAAAAACAAAGGTCCTCACCCACTCCAAGAGATCATCCCCGATCTGACCAATCACTGACGTCTCGCTCCTCCTCCTGATTGCTGCCATTTGTTCTGTTACAGAAACTAAAACAGGGAGGTCACTCATAAGAAAATGGTTCCTCTTTACTTTCTTTTTAGTGAGGCAAAATAAAGACTACATTAGGTTCAACAAGTTTTTCATCTACTATTCCTTCACAACAAATTAAAATAACACTTTAGTCCTTATCTGCTTTACAACATGTGAAAATCAGGATTATTTACAGTTGTGTTAGGAATATGTCTCAAAATTTCTGGTTTTTGACTATTTTTGYGCAACTTTTGACATAAAAATGTAAATTTACTGTTATTTTTTAAATTGTCTGCAGTTTTAATGCCTGTGTAAAAATACTAGATGCAAGAACAGTTTTCTTTTTGAGCCAACGGGTCCAGGAGAGAAACCCAGACCTCCCTGTCCAGCTGTTCGCAGGGGCCCCCCAGGAGTGAATCAGATGAACCACTGACTCCTGACTTTATAAATAACRAGACAAGAACTGAAGTCTCAGCATGACTTGAATATTAAAACAGAGTAATTTTTAGTCTTCCTATAAAAGCATGAATTGATCAGACCTCTGCAGCYGGTCCAGGACATGAAGTACGTTGAACTGAGTGTTTAATGTTACCGTGCAGCTGGATGATTTCCTCCAGGTTAATAAAGATTTGTCTGATGTCCTCAGGAGGAAGGATGCTGTCCCTGTTCAGCCTCTGGCAGAAAACACAGTCCAGGACCCTCAGCATGCGCAGGTGAGCGCGCTCAGTGTAGAACAGCTCTGCGGCGTGAACACGTGAATTCACGTCAGTCAGTTTGGTCGCTTTTAACTCAAGGCGCGAAAAGCTGACGACTCACCGTTGATGACTTCCTGTCGTTTGATCTCCTTCGGCGTCAGGCTTTCCAGGACGCCTCGACTGACGAGTTTCTGCCAGTTCAGGGGGTCTTCGTCACCCTCGCCCTCTGCTGCTTGGTCGTCTTCGCTCTGGATGTCGGCAGAACTCACCGTGGACGGAACTTCCATCCTGATGCCAGTAAAACAAGTTAATAATCAAGAATCCCTCTATTTGATAGATAAAATGACCAAACAAGAGATATTATCAATGTTTCTCAAAAACTTCACAGTTAGAGCTTCAAGTTTGTATTTTATTTAAAACAATTGTTCGATTATTCATATTCTGAAAATTATAACTAAAATTAGCAAAATAGTAGCAAAAGAAGAGACATTAGAAAATTAGAGAAACTGTTGGTATAATTTGCAAGACAGCTAAAAGTAGTAATACAGTACCTAAAAGTATCAAAGACGAGCTAACAGTAGCAAAACAGATGCTAAGATTTGCAAGACAGTAGCTAAAAGTAGCAAAAATCTAATAGTAGCAAAAGAAGAGCTAAAAATAGTTAAACTGATGCTAAATGTGCAAGACAGTAACTAAAATTAACAATACAGCAGCCAAAGTAGCAAAGAAGAGATAATGTAGCAAAACAGTAGCTAATTTGATCACTTTTGGGTAAAAGTATAAGAAGCTGATGAGTCAAAACAATGGCAAAACAAAAGCTGGAATGACAAGGACATGAGCTAAATCAGCAAAACCTGAGATAAAATAAGCAGAACACAAGCTTAGAAGCAGCAGAASAGCAGCTAGAAGCTAAAAGCAGTAAAATGGTAGCTAAAAGCTAAAAGAAGCAGAGCAAATGATATAAAATTAGCAAAGCAGTAGCTTAAAGTAGCTAAACAGAYGTCAACGTTAGCAACACTGTAGCTGAAGGTAGCAAAACAGTAACTAAAGTAGCTAAAGTTAAACTCAAAACATTATCTAAAGTTAGCAAAGAGTAGCACGGTAACTAAGAGCAGACAGCTGAACACCTATTAAACATTAATAAAAACTTACAGAATGGCAGCTAAAAGCTAAAAGTAGCAGAAGAAKACARATTATGGCTACATTTAACATGAGTTAATAAAAACAAAATGTTATTTAAAAGCTACTAAAGATGCTCCCTCACCACCTGTGACTTCAACAATCTGAGAGAAACAYCTGGTACCTGAAAGCGTCCTGGTCCTCGTCCCGCTGGTCCAGGTTGGACGGGCTGAAGTCAAACTGAGTGCTGGTTGGACTGGAGGGGCCATCCTGGTGGTCCACAGGCTGCAGACCATCACCCAGTCTGGGCAGGACGCAGAACGGAGACATACCTGCAGAGTTTAAAAGATCCGAGGAGGAGAAGAAGAAAGTYTGAGCTGGAACCAAACGACGCTCTTCTTGTTGCTCAGCACCAAGAAAACAAACCTCCGACATGCTTTAAACAAAATAAACTATTATTTTTACTGGAATCTGTCTCTGCTCCGCTCGTGTCGGAGGTGGGACTGCTGAGGGAGCCGGGACCCAGGGAGGAGCTGGTGGACCCAGACTGGCAGCTGGAGTCCGGCCCCTCGCTCGGGTGGTTCGCCTGGCTGCGTCCGGTGGAGGCGGAGGAGTCGAGGAGTTCTGGGATCCCGATGGGCAGCTGGGAGAACTTTGGTGAGCGCTGCTTGTTCTGCTCGACGGCTTTAACCACTGCATAAAAAAACAGAGATTTATAGTAACGAAGTACTTTTACTTCGTTACAGAACTTAAGTAGTTTTTTTGAGGATTTGTAATTTTACCAATTATTTTTTTAAACAGCTACTTTTATTTTGTTACATTTTAAAGCTAAAAATTATACTTTTACTTCTTTACTTTATAACACCTAGTTACTTGTTACAAAATTAAATGTTTGAACTCATGAAAGATGTTTCTGCTCTAAAAAATGGTGCTGAATTTACTTAAAGTCATGTCAACTGGCTCCACTGAGTCTAGTTGAGTAAACTGAGCAAATATACATATATTTATCAATTTACTCAACCTGGCTTAGAGGAGCCAGTTTGGTTCAGTAAATTCAACAGTTTATATCTTAGAGTGTATAAAAATACTTTTACTTTCCCAACTTTTGTGAACAGTTTTATGTATTTTACTTGAGTTTTACTTAAGTACTTTTCTAATCAGTGAAATATATTTTACCAAAGTCATTTTCTGTTCATGTAATTTTACTTTTACTTAGTTATTATTTTCCAAGTAATTTATAGACCTCTGAAATAAAAAATAAAAATAAAACAAAATAACGTCTCCTGGATCCACCCCCCTGGATTAAACAAACCTGCTGAGGGATTTAATCCAAGTTTTCTCCTCACCTGAAGTTGAGTCCACTCTGCTCGGGCGCCGTGGAGGTCCCAGGATGTTGGGGAATCGTGGCTTTTTCACCTTTTCCTCCMCTTCCTTCTCCGGTTTTGTACTTTTCACCTTATCAGAAGAAAATAACRTATTTCTYTCTTTTGGAATCATGTGAGCATCTTCTCTGTACCACTGTTGGGATTTATGAGTGCGTGAAGGTGCACCTTAATTCTGGGCAGGAAATTAATGCGTGCACGTTTTTGCTCGAGCCCACGATGTTCCTTTACTTTCACCCCGAGGTGCTTCATATAGTTGTGGATTACATGCTGCATGTTTTGGCTGCACAGACGGTGAAACAAACATTTTTATTTAATATTCTTCAACAAAATCAATCTCAAAAATACATTCATTTAMGTATGAACCTTTCAACTCAATGGGATGATTCACATGCAAGTAGCTAAAATTAGCACGCTGTCATCTGATGAGGTATTTCCTGTGTTACAGGATGAGATTTTATGATCCCACACTTCCATTTATAAATATCAGTAAAACAGCAGAACAGAAACTAAAACAGTTCTCTAAAACAGATGATTCTGAGCTGAGTGAAAAAATAAATAGCAGAAAACAAAACCAAAAAAAAACCCCTCTTCTCACCACTTCTCCTCTTCTGAGGGTTGAGACGACAACCTGCAACATCAGACATTCACATGAGGAGATAAACACACAGACGTGAGTGTTGGTTGTGATTTTCAGCAGCAGTCAGAAGTTTATTCACTCATCATGAATGACAGATTAGTTTTAAGGTTTCAACTATTTATTTGATCTGTTTTTTTAACCAAGGTGGAAGGATTCTACAACATGGTCGGTGGAGGCAACAGTTCCTGGAGAAAAACCCAGACATGCCTCTCCCCAGCAACATTCTCCAGTATGGCGCAGTATGAGGGCCAAAACAAAGAATATTGCGCAACCAGAGGTTGTTACTTCCTTGTAGGAGGAGGCTATATCTATTCCTAACCAGCTAATGACAGGCCGGCACCGCTAACTGAGCAGCTGACCCCAAGAGGCCGGAGCTGGCAGATGAGGAGGAGACTATTCATCTGTGTTAGCATCCGAGAGGCTAGCTACTAGCATGGATAAGCTGGCGTTAGCATCGGAGAATTGTCCCAGAAGCTTGTAGGTGGAAACAGAAAGCCTGTGGTCCAGGTGCAGCTCTATAAAGGGACATTTACACAAATATTAGGGTGTTTTTAAATTGTAAAGCCCGGCTGGCCCAGCCTGGGCAGTGTTCCTACAGCTTAAGGCAAGTTAAACCTAAGACTTGTTAATACTTTTTAATGCCACTTGAAAGGAAATTTAAGACCAACTTCACAATAAACACAAATGTGAAGAAAAAAAAACAATTTTACCCAAATGTTTATTTTAACACAAAAAAACTTGCTGCGGTAAACTTGGTGAATTGCTAAAAAAAATAAATGTTACCAATTATTTTAATATTTGAGACAAATACAATCATCCTACTTCCAATGTGTTAACATTTTTAAGACCTCTGAAAGATTAATATAAAACATTTTAAGGCTAATTAAGGCCTTATTTTTGGATTAAAGAATTCAATGCCTTTTAAGACTTTTTAAGGATCTGCGGGAACCCTGCTGGGTTCAAATGCAGACCCGGCATATTTGCAGTTGCATAAATATGACCCACTTCCAGCCTGACTTCTGGAACCCCAAGACCTGGGGTTCTATTCAGGCCAGGCTGCTGGGGTTGATTTTAAATCAGGGACGAAGATAAGAAGCTCAATGTCATACATTTTTGTGTCGTAAATAAAATAATATCACATAGAAGATTAGCACATTTTTGATGATGACGATCACCACCCATTGTGAGGTGACCTTATGCTCAAAGTAAACACAACCGGGACCGGGATTAGAGGCTGACAGTGGGATGAAGAACTACACAGCGCAGAAGTCAACAGTGCATGTTGTAGAATCAGTCCACCCTGAAAAAACAGCAGCTTATCCACAACAAGTGGATGTAAACTTTTGACCTCAGCCACTGACGCTCAGGAACTCACAGGATGTCCTCGATCTTGGACAGGATGATTTCGGCGCAGGAGCACTCCTTCTCCGACACCTGCTGGTCTTTGTCTCGCTCCGAGTCCAGCTTGGACAGCTCGTCCTCGGCCAGCGTCAGCCCCATGCTGCGTTTCTGTCTGCGTTCAGAGATGGAACAGATGTTTTACCCGCGAGGAAAACCCTCTGATGACGCAGATGGCTGAGCGGCTGTTTTACCTGAAGTCCTCCAGGTTCTTGTGCAGGTCTGTTAAAAGCGAGTCTTGTAACGCCTGAGAGTATTGTTTGCACACATCATCAGGGAGCAGCTCCAGCCTTCGCTTCTCTGACAAAAAAAAATTCATAATATCAACACAAAGAAAAACCTAAACTGTTGAGTCAAATAAATAATAAAGAAGAAGTCCTCAATAATTCTAACTTTACAGCTTTTCTGTTTGCAGAAAAAATGTCTGAAAAACATTTGCTTCCTTGTTTTTTTTTACCCAGTTCTGCTGCGATTGYTTCAGGCACTGGTACTTTCAGATTCTGGGGAAAAAAACAAAAGGAATAAATGAACTAGGAAGTCCTGCAGGTCTCCCGAAGACCATCAGAGCTACATAGAAACCGGCTGCCAGAAAGAAAGAAAGAAAGAAAGAAAGAAAGAAAGAGAGTAAAAAAGGACGGAAATAAATAAAACAACAATGACTAAGTTAAAAATAATCATAAACAGCTCAAACATTAGAAGCTTTAAAAAAGTTTATAAAATAAAACTAAAGCTGAACACTACCTTAAAAGAAGCAGAGAACTAAAAAATGTAAAAAGAGAAAAATACTAGCTAAAAGCCAAAAGTGACATAACACAAGTTAAAAGAAGCAAAAATGCTAAGAAACTGTAGAAAAATATGAGCAATACATGTAGCAAAAGGCTAGCTTAAAGATAAAAGTAACAAAATACTAATAAAATGCTACAAGTGGGAAAAGAGTAGCTAAAAGTTAAAAATATCAAAACACTTGATGATTGAAGCAAAATGCTAGCCAAAAGTCAGAAGTGGCAAAACAACAGTTGAAAGTAGCAAAACATTAAGTATCTGAAGAAAAAGATGAGCTAAGAGATGAATGTAGCAAACAGCAAATGGGCTAAAGTAGACCAAAATAGCAAAACTGGATACTAAAAGTAGCAAAAAATAGCCGAAAGCTAAAAGCACAAATCAATAAATGCAGAAAAACTCATAAAAAGGTACAAGAGAAAAGACTAATTTATAAACAAGAGCACCACGAGGCGAAGCAATGGGATAAAATGTTAATTTGTCTTAAACCAACATTTAAGCTAAAGTTTTATTTACAGAAATAAATAAATCATTTTTGTTGTTGTTATGAAAATAAAAAGCTGGAAGTTCTACTTACGGCTGTTTTATCTAAAAAAAGTGAGTGGAACTCCATGAAGAAGCGTCGACTCTCCTTGGAGCTGGTTTGTTTGTGCATGTCGGCGTAGAGGAAACAAAGCTGAGGAAAGAAAAGTTTTATTCATCATCACACGTCCAAACACCAGAACGACTCAGTGTGTCTGTACGCACCAGAGGAGCCGGGTCGAACTGCGACACCACATGATGGAGGAAGACGGCGAGGTGAGCCGGTCGACACTTCAGCACGTCGATGCTCTGAAACGAGCTGCACTCGTTGTTGATCTGAAGGCAGAAAACGTTTTAATAAACAACAAACACAAAAGTAATTTGTCCTCTAAGCTTTTATAAAAAAGCACCTGTTCCTGTTGGGAGTCAAAGTAGTCGTCCTCCGCTCCGATGATCTGGAGGTTGAGGGTGTAGGGAGGGTTACCCACAATGCAATGGGCACTGGAGTCCTGACGGGAACATTCAGGGGCAAATGTTGAGTTAATTAATGATTATCAGTCCTTTAATCTTTGCTGGAGTTGGAGACTCAAAAGTAAAATAAAATGTGCAAATTATCATTGAATTTGATAGTTTTGCGTACGTTGTTGTGACATTAATGGATTCATTTAGTTTCACGGGTCGCCAAACCCTCCTAATGTTGTCTGTTATGTCCCGCACTTTATGACTCGCTGCGACTAAATTGATAGTGGTGTCTCACTGGGATGTGATGAACAGGATTCTTGTGATACTTCTGACTAATAGTTCCAGTAACACAGTCCAGACTTGTCTCACCAATAAATAAACTCAAAAATATCTTCTAAATGTTTCAATATAAAGTGAATAAAGTGGTAGAAATWCCTGCTGGCACCAAAAACTGAGACAAAAACCTCCATCATTGTTTACCAGAGTCTCAGTTTAGGTTTTCAGGTGATAATTACTGAAMATAAGAAACCATATAAATGCTCATTTTGGCTCATTTTTACATAAATGACAGATTTTTTTTATTGCAGATTAAAAATGAATGGACAGTAAGGCTACACAAGCAAAAATGAGGAAAAAAAGCACTACAGTGATTTATTTTGAGTCAAAAACAGACATTAGTGTTACAACATTTAGGTTGCTGTGTTTGCAGCTGACATGTGTGTGCGTGTGTGTGCATCTCACCGTATCAAGCACATCTTCAGCGTCAGGTGAAGAGCAGAAACTAAGGTCTTCTCTGCGGCTGATGCCTGGACTCTGACAGGGCGTCTCTTTTATTCCTGAACTTTCCGGAAAGCGGCTGCTGATCGTCTAATACACACAAACACACATTAAGAAGAAAAACCAACAAAAGAGTTGAAGCAAATTGGTTGTTTAGTCTGGTGGTGCATGCTGGGAAATCCCCCAGARATTTCAAAGCAGGTCCATTCCTATTTATAGACGTGATAAAAGGTTCTTTATAACAAAGGAGGTTCCAGAGACTTTTGAGTTGTTTTTACCATTAAGATGACAGTTTTACTTAGAAAATTCATTAMATGAATAAACTAGAATAYTTCCTGGAGAAACTTTGAAGGAGTCTAATGATTGGTGCGTGATTTTAGGGATAACTTTCATCAGCTACAACACTAAAACTTAGCTCAATATGTTCAAAAACAGATTGAGATTTTAAAGGGATCCAGGATTAGTTGTAACATTAGACTTTATTTGATAAACATATATTTTAACTGTAAAATAAAGACTGTAAAAATACTGTAGGCTGTTTAGTTTTTATAATTTTTAAACTAAAAGTTTAGCCACAACGCTATCAACAAATATGTGTATTAGCTCAGCGCTACACAGTCTCCTCTCGTCAGTGG